CGCATCCTGGACCGATTTTGGTCAGGTGACACCTGTCTTTTTTCAATGAGCCGCTATTTGCACGCAGTTTTGGATATATATTAGGAGGCGCGTGTTAAGCTTGTACTTAACCTGTTGTAAAGGAACCCCAAGTATCTACCTGATTTCCGGCTTCCCGTCGCATTCGCCTGCGCGTCACAGGCCGTCAAGCTTTACATGTAAATTCCCAGCGGCGCCAGCAGCCAGAAAGTCTCTGTAGCTTCAATGTCCACGGAAGCAATAGACAGACAGCAGTGGAGGAGAGTCTACTCTTCCGGCCAACGGGTCTGACGCAATGGGTGTTGGGGCCTGGCTGCAGTTTGACGTCATCGAACACGCTGGAGCATCGCGTGTTCATTCTCCAGCGGCGGGGCCCCCGGGCGCGCACAAGAGGCGAATGGACATTTTTGAATAATAGATAGATAATATATAATAAATAAGACTTTAATTTCACTATTAAAAACATTATTGATAATTCTAAGGGGTGGTCAGCGCGGGGACCCTTTGACGGCTTGGCTGAGGAACCTCCGTGCGCCTTGAAGCCAAGCAAGAGGCTTTTTGTGGGGCTCTTGCCTATCCGGAGACGCACAGCAGCTGCCGAACTTGCCTTGCTTGAAGGTCCTCTGATTTCAAACTGTCCTTGCTGACAGGTGGCATCCCGCAACAGCCTCAAGCAGACTTTCTGTCATGGGGTGGACAACGCGGTAAAGTAACGGTTAAATGGCCCCATAAAAAGATAAAATGAATTCACGACTGAACTTAAGTATACTCAATTACCACTAAGCTAGTGAAATTAACATCATTCCCCTAAATAAGTGATTATTAATGAAACTCTTGTCCAGAGGATGGACCCTAAAATTTAAACTTAAAGCTCTAAGATTTTTCACTTACTATTTATGCGACATTTTTCTAATTAATTATATAATCATAAAATTCTGCACCAAACATATATGAAACAATTCACTACAATAAAAATAATTAACAACTACAATTTGTCAATCATACACTTATTTTAAAACAACCGATAACAATTCCCTCACATGTTAACAATAAATCATTTTAGCGTGTAACATAGAAAATGCGTGATAATAGCCTGCCATTTACTGACAACAATAAGATTTAGAATCATTATGTATATACATTATTAAAACCTACTAATTCATTAATCAAGCGTATATCGCATCATAATATATATATTAATAAAATTATAGCATACTAGCAGTTTATGCCTTTTTTAAACTCATTAAACATATAGACAGCGCATCTGTTGTATCTTCACAGTGTTAACCTTTGGAAAATTTTTTAGAGCTATCCGTAAAACAATTATGAGATAAACAAATGCTTTATTCAAATACCTAAATATATTAAGTGTGGTTATGATTCAGTGAATTTGAATAAAGGACACCTATAAATAAAAAACACTAATTTCTAATAAATAATCTAACAAACAGAGATGATAAGGATGTCATGGAGACAAGGTATATTCCCGAGTCAAATTATCTGTATATAATCTGTAATTTCATTTGCAACGAGAGAAATAAACAATAATACCATTAAATTTAAAGTTATGGATAAATTAACATAGAGTTGACCTGATTTATCTTCTCTTTTATTCTCAAATCTAGAATAATCATCTCAAACACAACACAACCATAGCAAGATTGTTCAGTGAGAGAGAACAAAGAGAAAGACGAATTTGCTTTATACAAATCACCCAAATTTTGTCACTATAAATAGATTCTAAATGAAAAGTTGCGTATCCCTTAATGTCACATCAATGGCTGAATATCAACTGGTTAATGAATTAATGACTGCACAACCACTGAGAGTCAAATCTGTTGAGACTATATGATAGCTTTCTGAAATAAACACTACTACTCCGCTCTGATTCAATTGATGGTTTTATACCCCATAATCAATGAACAAAAAACTTCGGTGAATTTAGACACATCTAAACTGTGGGTGTAATGCCTGAGACCATCAGTCAAGTCTAACGTAAAATTGATCCACCAACAACTGTTCTTTAGTACATGCTTCCATCTCTAGTACTTCAACGCCCATGATTGTCTAGTTTTGTTTTTTCAATAGACTTTGGGTTTCACAGTTTGTCTCAAATATAGCAATGGTGCCAGAACGATATCAGATACCCTTCACTGCGGATGTCTTATTAATATTTGTGAGTCAAAAGTCCATCTACGAAACCCCTACACCACCTGTGGACACCCACCCACCTCCACTTCCTGACACCCACTACACTTTCCACACACCTCTCCAGCCTTTGCGACGCCTGGTGCATGGTAGCCTGCCTAGCACCGTCTGCGTGATTCTACCACAGAATTCCGCCAGTCTCCTCTCTTTCCCTTTCCTCACTGCTCGTCACATCCGCGTTTCCCTTCTCAACGCCACACCTTATCTTTTCTAACTTTCTTCCATCTGTCCTTACACAACACTCTCACAACTGACTGCTCCTGAGGGCTCAAACCTGGGCTCTTCTTTATCCGTCTTCCCGTCCCCTCCGTTCGCCCACACAGCGCCAGAGCTCACGAGCTAACGAAGATAACCCAGCAGCGCATACACCTACCCCCGTGCATTTGCCCGAAAGCTCATCGTCTTCCCAATAACCAGTTTCGAAGCCCCTCACCTGGCCTGGCCACAAAACACCCGTTTGGGTTTCAACCCTCTCAGCCTTTTCCACCTTCGGCCGCACTGAGAGCAACTAGGACTGCCGTCCCCTGGGCCCAGTGGCCATGCCCACGCGGCCTTCTGGTCCGATCCCCGCCGGCGGCGCTAAGCCTGGCGCCGAGTGGCAACCACACGCTCCCCTTTCACCTCCTACTCGAACTCATCCGGCGCAACAACACCGCACCCTGGCCTGGTGCAAGCTGAACACCCTCCCCCGTGTTGCCCTTGTACTGCTTTATTTTGTGACTCTGGTGCCTGTCCTTCACCCCATCTTATTACTTTATTTTCAGGATCATAGTGCCCTCCTAAAAACCCAACCTCACACATGAACTTTAAATTCTCTCCCTGCAACACATCATTTTCCATCTGTGCCTGTGTTATTCTCAATCCACTGCCGGGAACCCTTTCTTGTTTTCATCGCCCTTCAGTCTGAGCGTTTCACTCTATAGCCAACCCCGCACCTCCTCCAAGGTGGCACCATCACCCTGTTCAGTCTCTGACATTTCCCCCAACGACCCCATTAATCAACTATTGACATTCAACACATTTTCTTCCATCCCCTCATCCTATCCTCCTTATTTCGGCAGTACCCCCAACTCTCTTTTCGACCCGCTGGCCTACCGTAAACGAAAAAAAACTCTGTAAGTAGTCACAATTTAACTTAAATATGGTATGACTCAATAACTGCGCAAACAGTTTTTCCTATCCCTGCAGATAAGACAAACTTTTTATCTATTTTGGTCTCTACATTAAAGTGAGAAACATTAACAACTATTATTAGCTACGCTCATTAGCTGTCATAGGTCGCTAAGTATAGACAACGAGTTATTGTATTATGTTTGGCCAAAAACAGCAGCGGCTCAGCTTGAAACATTTTTTCTTTAAAGCCGTGAGAGCTGAAACCAAAAAGATTGTTGAGCCCATGTAACACAAGTTCACAAAAGTTTTATAGTCTCTGTTATAACTTTTCCTCTTTTGCATCACATATAGTTCCTGAATCCTCATAAGTTTATTATTTCCCGTGACATAGAAGTCCATTCTTGAAGATGGATGATGGATGGCAATGAGAAAGTCTGTAATATCTGCTGCCTCTACAAGCACTTGACAGAAGAGTCCCATAAGGAAAAGTGTAGCTCATCTTGGTCATTTCCTGGCTAAATAAAGCAACATAGCCGGTCAGAGTTTAATGCAATCAGTACTCCTCACTTTAAGGTTAATATTCATTAGATAGAGATAGGCAATACAAAACACTGCTTGCCATTTTCTCTATTTTATAAGATGACTTGGAAAACATGTTTTCAAACAAGAAGAAGTCATCCATCTTCAGCGTTCGCGGTCATGTCGGTAGAATAAAATCCTCAGGCAATCCGTCGTTCTTTAATTAGATCTAAATTTCCTTCTTCCATTAAAATTAATAGGCACCCAGTGGGCATTTTCCAGTTGAACAGACAACAATGAAGCCTCCCTTCGGGAGGTTTTCAGCTCATCTCTCTCCTGTCCCATTGACGGCAACCCGGACACAAAATATAACATGAAATCCTGTCTCCCTAAAGCAATTACACAGCTACAAAAACCATGAATTAGATTACATAAAGACTTTAGTGTGCAACTTACTGTAGCAGCTATTAACCTAGCATGTGACCTATCACTTGGTTAGCTCATGCAGATCCACAATACAGAGCTGATCTGTGACTCCATGATTTCATTTGACCCAAACGTGTGAAATTAACAGAAACTTGCGGAACATTAATCGACAGACAATTTATTGATTCATTTTCATACCTACTATGAAAATGATCCATAAATTGTCTGTCGATTAATCGTTCCAGCACAGTTTCTGTTATTTCACACGTTTGGGTACAAATGACACACTGGAGTCACAGATCAGCTCTGTATGTGGATCTGCTGACTAACACAGTGATGTCACACTGTAGGTTAATACTGCTACAGTAAAGTTGCACAGTAACTCTTTATGTAATAATTCATGGTTTTTAGCTGTAGTAATTGCTTTAGACAGGATTTCATGTTATATTTGTGTCCGGTCTGCCAGTCAATGGGACAGGAGGAGAGATGAGCTGAAA